CATTTTACTCTCATCATCATCAGCTTAATGACATTAATTATGATTTTGACCTTCTGGAGATGTATTATTTTTTGTTACATCCATTGAACTCATGTCATTGAAACAACTAATTCACAGCTATAATGGCTTCTACACTGACCAGAATACATATTGGAATCTTTTTTTTTTTAATTCATCATGGTTGCATTATTGATAGAAAAAATTAAAGGTCTAGGTCGAGGGTTATAGCGTTTTTGTGTATTGCATAAATAAAATCTTGCAAAGCATGGTCCAATGATAAGATATAAATATGCTCGAGTACAAAGATTTCCTGAGCTGTTGCCTCTCATGACAATCTTCAATATTCTAAGTAGACACACAGCCTCAGAGTGTAAGTGCAAATGTTTCCCAAAGGATGTGTACTGAAATTAGAAATAATAAAAACACATTAAAATGTGCAAACAGGCTCACACATCCTATGACCTTACCAGGCAGAGCAAGTCACTGGTCAATGTCTGAGAAGAATTTTAGAGTTCATTAATGGTCCCCTGATATAAAAAAAAACATCTCATTGGAATATTTCCAGCTCTGTTTAACAGGAGATTGAAGAGTTGTTTAAAAACTACAGAAACAAGCATACAGCATGAAGCAAAATCATAGTAGAAATGAAAGCTAATGTAATACAAAATCTGTATTCCAGCATTCAAAACCCATATGCTGTGGATCAAAGCAGAAGGAGCAAACATAAACATCAAAGCTTGACTATGCATCTGTGCTTATTGTTTTCTTCCCGTACAAACTGTTAAATAGCAGCACCAGCAGAACAGATGAGACTGTGACCTTGATTGTGAGTTCCCGCCAATCTAACTTGAAGACCAGAATTGTCCCTTAACAAGATTACTTTACTTTGATCTAATGGATTTGACTCTTGAGACAAAGTGATCTGGTTGCATCCGTTCCTCTGTTTATATAGGACAGAAACCATTTGTCACCACCCCCGAACAGAAATCACAGCTGATGCATTATTGCAAGAATCAATCGCAGACCTTTTACTCTCACTGTATTTCCACAATTTGTCAATGCAGAAGGGAGACTGCTCTCCCTCTTCCTCTTTCTGTCTCTTTTTCTCACATTTATTTTTCTCTCTCCCCTCGCTCACTCTCAGAGACATCATCTGTGTGACAGTCCCATCGGTGCGTAGTGCAGTTTGCTTCACGTTTAGTCTGAGAGGCTATTCCATTTGGCAGTCACTTAATGGAGACCCCTCCCATCTTCCACCCATGTCTGCTCTGTTCTGCAGGTTAGATTGCAGAACCGTCAGGCGGAAGGAACTGACTGTCATTGCAGAATGACAGTGTCCTGACCAGCCGGATTCCTTTGAAGCCGATGCCTCCGGGTCTGCCCCGGGGTTGTTGAGGCATGCTGGAGTCTGCCATAGGTGGAGGAGTCCTGCAGTACCTCAGCTCATTTTGATTAATGGACCTCTCTCTGCCCCTGAGTGAGCAATTATCAGAGGGTTGGCAAAGTCGTTCATCACTGTAACTGAGCAGCAGGTCTCTTCCACTGTCGAAAGTCATACCTGCAGGGCAAGGGGTCTACGTCCGCATCCCCTACCTCCTCTTCTTCCTCCCTATCAACCAAGCTGCAGCCCCATGTTTGACTAGGAGTGTCTATCTACAGAAGGTCAGAGAGGGGAAGGCCTTCTGTGCTGTGGAGTGCAGACGTGCTTACTAGCAGATCAGATTTCCCCACGGTAATTGTTTAGCTGCTGCCTGCTGGGCTCTCTGGCCTTGATCAAATCCAAGCCTGCACGTTACTGTGAGATCAAGTTCCCACTCCGTCCTGTGGCACCAAGCCTGGAATTCACTTTGCAACATGACTGGCACGTGGTGTGAACAACCATTGTACTGCTGTTAGTAGGATGTGTTCAGCATACTAACTGTCCGTCACAAACAAAAAAGAAAGCTATAGTTTTTCAATTAAAGCAAATATATTCTCCACTAATTGCTACAGTGTCTGAATAGCTTTAATCACCAATAACAATATATTCACTTTGTCTGTGTTATGTTGAAGAGGTAGGCTACCTCACATATATCTGTTTCCATAGAAACTCTTGTACAGTAGTTACTTTATTGTCATGTTTGTTCAGATGTACAATTACAGTAATTTAGATTTTCTGTTCTTGTAAGGATTCAGCAGAAAGGGCGAATTAATCACCTCACCCACAGAGAGGATTTGTTTAAATTCACCTTGATATTATGAATATGACTACTGCTATAGCAGACACAGCTGAGAAATGTGCACAAACAAGACGCTTCACATGCACGCTCACAGAAAAGCACACCTACAAAAGCACTGACCTTACTACTGTTTGTGTCCATTATTATGAAAGTTGGCTCCTGAGGTTTTGTTAGTATTCAGTGGAAACTCTGACCCTTCACTCATGCATAACTTACACCCACCCATTGTCTTTCTTACAAATCATCGCAAACACACATCACTGTATTTGTATTCACATCTTTCAAGGCTCCCCATGTCTTCCAATGCAACATTTTAGAATGCACAATCACAATTCTTCATTGTGGTGTTTGCATTTGAGCAGGGAGGCCATGTGAACTAGAAGTGATTGGACTTTGTGATTGCTGGGCACATTCCAGTCATTGCTATTATACAACTGTAATCCAAAATCCCCTCATCCACTGTTAAAAATGCAATTAACAAAATAATTGTTCCTCCCAGAGACCAACAATTTACCTGCAATTTACCTGAATCTATTGGTCAATTACGAGTTTGTCTTCAGGCTGACCCCGCCGGCTAATGGCTTTGGAGGGAGGCCAGAATCTGATTTCCTTTTAACGCTGTCTAATGGGCTGTCACTGTATACATTATGAATGCAAACCAACTGAACACAACCCGTCCCACCATCACTATTAGGGCCTTTTTCTATTCATTGATTTCTCTCTTTACTTTTAGCTAATGATTTCCCCTTCTTTATATGCATGCTGGTGAATCTGTGAAATACTTTCTATTGTAGACAAAAAGAGAGGATTTGGAATGCATTTGAAGTACAGAGATTTTGTTTCACCGCCCTGTTATCAAATCACAACGTGTAATGCATCCAAGATGAGCAATGTCTCTGTCACTATTTATATGTATGTATGAGTGTCTCTGTCTTTCCACCTGAGAGGAGAATGGCGAGCGCTGGCTTTGTTTCATTTCACCCACGTTTTGAATACTAAGTGGCCAAATAAATATTAGATACATGCTTTTTAAAGCTATATTACTATTTAACTGATTCAATTTTTTTCTCAAATAGCCTACCATTTTTATAGACTGCTGGTTTCTTATGCATGACTTTTCAGAAGTGCATATTTTGATGCTAGACAGTAACAGTGTAAAGTAAACAATTTACTGGAGTGTGATGGCTACATAGTTTGTTTCTCCACATGAGTAAAAGCTATCATAAGAAATCTGGTCAAGACATTTGCTGCTGTGCGCTGGAAATGTGGAAATCTATGTGCTGCCACCTTGTCCACCCTCCATCTCACTCTCTCCCCTATATATCGCTGTCTGCATCTTTTGCCATTCCCTTGCCCTCCTTTTTACCATCTCTGACTGTCTTCTCCATCTCTCACTCACATCTTTATATCACTCCAATTCTCGCACGGTGAGATGGAAATTGAGTGGGAGGACTGGGTTGCAGGATAAGATGGAGGTCTCAGAGTGGACAAAAATAAAATCCAATTTCAACAAAAAATAATGATTACCCCTCCACCTCCCCAAACTGCAGCCCGCCTTGCTGCCCCTGCCCTTCTTCAGCAGGTCTCACCTGCACATCTCCAGAATCTCAAAGCCTGGCACGCAGCAGGGGGCCAAAAAGAGAGGGACCATGCACCAACCTACCTCCACTCTCTCATAACTGAGATTGGACACACACCATTGCCCTTTTTTAACTTTTAAAGCCACTACTTGCAGCATATCATAATAGATAGAGTGTACCAGAGTAGGTTGTACTCCAAAGAATTCCTAATTCTCAAAGATGAAGGTCCAGACTTTTAAAAGATACAAACAATTTCAAGAGTGAAAAGAGGAAGTTTCTTCAAGAGGCTTCATGCCGTTCTTTTTAGACTGAGCTTGTGTTGGTTTTATTTGGACAGATGAGGAGCAATAACTTTGGATCACTTTTCCATGCAGTGAGCATCATGTGTCTGTAGCACTAATGACGGAAAAAAAAGCTCCTCAAAGGAGTTTTTTTTTCTTTTTTGGGAGAAAACACTTTAAACCTCACAAGGGTATGTCTACCTAAGCTGACAGTTCAGTGGGAGTGTTGACAGGTGAACACAGAACTGTTGCTGAAAAAATACGATATGAACATAGTTGCAAAACAAATAAAATAAAAAGGGATTGAGAGTTGCATAACACATCTGTTTGATTATCTTCTGCTTTTAAGAACAGATTATCTATGATCTACAGGGTAGCAAAGTGTGTGAGCATTCAATGATAGCAGCTTTGTTGAATCAAATTCAAATTTAGTCTTCCAAATTTGTCTCTCATGTTGAGTTTTTTTGTACTACAACCTCCCAAAACAGGAAAAAACAGACATCTTCAGATATATCCGGCCAGCGAAGTTAGAAGCCATCTACTTATTTTTAGAGAGAGAGCAATAAGGATCCTCCAGAGCTGTAATCTAGTTGACTGACAGCAGCTCACAATGCCTTTCTCCACACCTAACCAGAAGACATTCAGTAAAAGCAATGCAATTCATGTGAGAAGAACACAGACAGCGAGTGAGGTGAGAGAAATGCACTCAGCCACAAAGAGATAAGAAACAGGGAGGAAGATGAAAGACAGCAAAGGTGGGAAAAAATCCTCACAAGATCTTAAATTTTGTTCTTCCTACTACAGATTTTTGAGGTACAACCTCAGTCATTTGGGGCCTCGTCCTGACTCTCTATTACTGTGTGTGCCCACATTCTATAAATGAGCACAACTATCAAGACAAACCCCACTGAGACAAGGTATTTAAAGATATGGTGTCATTTATTTGTAAAAGTCCACACTGTACAAGAAGACCCAGTGTTAACAAAATAGGATATATACAGTAAAAGATACATTCACAAAAGATTATTCTGAGGCAAAAATTGCAGCTTTTACCCAATCTTTATTGATCTGAGTGCAACGTTCATGAACAATATTTCACTTCACATCAGATCTCCTTCTGGACTTCTGATATTCAATTAAGGCTTCACAATTTCAACCCTCTACTCTCTAGATATTTCAAACAAATAAGCCGAAAAATATATACAGTGAAACCACACTCAGAGACAATCAATCAATCGAGGTGAGTGAAGTTTATAAGAATTGTTTAGGGCTCACAGGATTTACTGCGGATATTATAAATATAGGCACAGAAACTTTGGGAAGGATAAGGTCAGTTCAAGGAGTAAACTAGGCCACACAGCATATCCTCAGAGTTTGAGAGGGATATGAATTTGAGTCGGACTGAATGCACTGCAGAGTCCAGAGGGACCGGGAGGAGGAGGAGAAAACAGGAGCAGAGATGGGTACAGTCGGGGACACGATGCAGCCCATCATATTCTCTGTGTTGTTGGATTTTCCTTGTAAGACCTTATTCTAATCTTATTTTGATGCTGGGACATGGCTCACTCAATCATTAAAATTTCCATAAACTAGCAATTTCATGGAGGATAATAAAAAAGGTCTAATTCAGTGCAAGCAAATAGCACCTTGTGTCCTCAGGCGGCCTTATCTCACAAAAAGATATCAGATTGTACAACCGTGTGCAACCAAATTATATTTTTGTTTGCCTCAAAGTGCAAAAACAATCTTGCAGACATCTAAACGAGTGCTTTGAAGTACTGCTTGGGTGCCAGGATGAGGACGTTTCTACACTTTGGTTTAATCTGCCAGATGTGAAAAATGCCACATTTTGGCTTGGCTGTTGTCAGGGAATCCCGTTTGTCTCTTTAAGAGTCCCATACTTAAAAATATGAATATAGCAGTCATCCTTTTCAATAACCAAACATCAGATACAAGAGAAATCCATCCACTTGGAATGAGGTGCAGCATGGGGCTTGAAAGGTGGTGTTAATGCGGCACAGTCTCTGCCATTGCAGGGGTGTGACCCAGGAGAAGGAAAGCTTGTTTTGTTCAGAGTGCTTTTGTTCAGTCATGATAGCAGTGATACGCTTGAGCTTGTTCTGAAAATAGAAAAACACACAAATACCACTTGTAATACCTCAGGCAGTCCATGAGCATATCATGTTTATACATTTTTTGTTACTTAATTCAAAACTTCATATTTTCGATTCTACCCAATAAGTCATTATACATTATTTTTACTTCACACACAAGTTCATGAACTTACAAATCCAAACATGAATGCACACACCACCGCTCTGCAGACAGCTTTTGTTTTTTTTTGTTTTTTTTACACCCATTGTCAAAGTCTCTGTGCTTCTCAACCCCGTCCTCATTAAACAGCAGCCCATAGCTCGGCTCCACAGTCGCTGTGGAAGGAAGCAGTCAGACTCTCTTCAATACACACTTGTCAATCAATCTGATGTTAAGGAGAGATATCAAGATTTCACTGACCATGCTGCTGTCTGTGGGTCATCTAGCTCTGTGGGATTTCATGCGACCCTTATAGTTTTGTAAGTTGAAATTCACTATATTTGCGCTGTTTTTGCCAGTAGAAAACAGCCATTATTTTGCAATGAGCACATGAATATGGAGTAGTACCTAAAATTGGATGTATACCTTGTGTTTGCCAGAGCAAGAACATAAATTGTTAAATCTCTTTACATGAACTTGCTCGATTCAGTGCATATATTTAGTTGCATACAAATACCACAATATTGCAATACATTTCTGTGAAACACTCTATTGTCATTTTGAGTTGAGTCCATGGTCAAAGTTGCAGGTGTTTTTGTACTGGATTGCTGCGGATTGTATGGGTTTTAATAAACTGGTAAATCAGTGCAGTGCACTATGGCAACTGCACTATGCACTATGGCAACTGCACTATGACCCCAGGCCTCTAGGGGGAGCATTAATTCCAATATTCTTTTCAATCACAACAACAACAATACAGGTGGCACTGGACCAAACTAAGTCAAATATAGAATGTGTTCACCTATTCAAAAAGTCAACATGCTTCACTACACAACCACACAAATAAATATAAAAATGGAAATATTTATATAAATATGGTTTATATTAAAATCATAGATTGCTCACCTGCCATTTGGGAGGCTAAAGTTTGATTCCTGTTCATTGCATCAACCTTTTTAATCACCAACACATCAACCATCGCTCCCTTCAGTCCTTCGAATTGTTTCTGGTGAAATTGTCTTGAGGCTCCAATCTGCTTTCTCAATTTAATGCATCTACTATATTTCCAGACTATGCTGATCATTTCTGACTTGTCTATTCTCAATGCAATCTGTGTATTGTACTGTAATTACATGTTTGTTTGTTTTTCCACTGTCTTTGTTTTAATGTTACATTAATTAATTAAATGTATGACTTATTTTACATATGCTGCAGGACTTCCTTAATTTATGCTTTACTCTTTATTGCATGCTTTAATTTTTGGCTCCTAATGCTGCTTAATGCTCTCCCGTCTGGAACATATATCAGAGTGCATTGTCTCTGTCAATACACCAATAGATAAATAAACAAACAAACCTTTTAAGGCTTGTTGGCTGGTTGGTTTTGGGACTAAAGCTTATTCACTTAACATCACACAGCCTGCCTACACCCCCTACACACAATGGAGGGTCACACCTCGGATGTGTCTGCTCCACTGCTTTCCATCCACTCACCGTCTCACTGCCCTCTGCGTCCCTATCTCAGACCACAAAGCCGTCCCTTTTCACTTGTAAAATTGTTCTCAATTGATGCAAACACTCCGCCTGATCACCACTTGACAGACGTCTATTCTGCTTCACTAATGGTTCTGGTCAAGACCTTCACCACCTCTGAACCAATACTTTCTCTCCTCTCCCCTAAATACTGTATACTTACTGCACTCAGAACATGGGCAGTTTTCTTCTCTCACATTCTCTTTCCCTCTTTACATGTGGTGACTAAAACAATTTACTAACCTACCTACTGCCCAGCTGCCTGCCTACAGCTAAACCTTCACTCTTGTCCTTGTCCAAGTTATTCAAAATTCTCCTTGCAGTACGGCTGGCCTTCAGTTTCCTACAGTTTCTCTACCCACTCCTGTAATTATCCAGCATAATAGCTCTATGTAAGATGGTGAAGTGTGTACAGCTCAATTCTCAATTGAGAAAATGCATCGAGCAAACACAATATTTTTTTTTTTCGTTCACGATGGCGCTCTCATATTCTGAGACTTCTCTTTACTACAATGGAAGTTTCTCCACTTTTCCTAAGTATGTGTTTGTCCTTCCATGTATTCCACTGTCCCCATTTCCGTATCTGAAAAATCTATGTGCAGACTCTTTCTGCCATATAGGGCTGTTCTTTTGTCCGTGAATCAGCCTGCACAGAGTGAAAAAGTACTAACAGCAGGGGTGGGACCAATTAATTGTTTTTAAAGTCACAAGTAAGTCTCACGTCTTTGCACTCAAGTCCCAAGTCCATACTGACAAGTTCCAAGTCCTAAACTTTGAGTTTTGAGTCCTAAACAAGTCATAATGGGCTCTTCACCAAATGTCATGCAATTTTAACAAGGGAACGAACAAATCAAAATTATCTTTGGTATAACTTTTTCTCAACTGGTGCTCAATAACATAAAGTTAGTCCTTAATTATTCTCTCCTGCAACTTAATTGGATGAGGTTGGATTGGTTCAAACAACGTGGATGTGGGGTAATAAAGTGTCTGGTCATCCAAGACCAAACGAGATGAGGAAAAAACAGCAACAGGCACACCAGTTGAGCTAAACCAACTTTGCACTTAATGCGAATGAGACAAAAAACTGAGACTTAACTTGTGATAGAGAGGATAAAAAAAATCCTGTTTGTTGAAACTTGGATTTACCACTGCCCGGTCAACTGAAGAAAACTTATGAGAGCTTAGCCTGTTTTGACCTCTGCAAGATAGAGGGTGATTATTGTTTCTGGTTAAATGCACTGAGACTGGTGGTATTGTCAACATGTCTTGGGATGACAGAGCTCTTTACCACTGAAATGCACTTATACTATCACTGAAATGCACTTGGAAGTGCACAATACAAATGACTGGATCTATGCCATAGTAGGCTTGGCAGGAATTTTAGAGGTCAATGAGGATTAAATAGCTCAAATGCAAAATCTTCTCATTTAGTTACAGTGCAGCTGAAATTGGCATTTATCTCGTCTTTGATGAGACAAAGGACCTAGTTGCATTTAAATCCCACAGCATATTTTAAGATTCTGCAGCTAACAAAGCACACACAACTAAATTGAATTTACCTGGTGAAGCTATGGGTCCTTAAACCAATGCATCGTTTGTGTTTGGTCTCATGTTCACTAGGCATGCTGCTCTGGATCCATCATAGCGTCTAAAGCAAATAAAAACATAAATTCTAAAATTAGTTAGCTGGCCCGCAGGTAATCAGTATATAGTGGTTGCATTAGACTTACGTTGTAGACAGACTTACGTTGTGCCTCCGATGTTTCAGTTTGTTGGGTGGTAAAAAGTGAGACACAGTTCTGTGCCAGGCTGAGGCACAGAGTACAGAAGGTATAGCTGCAGTCTCCTGAACACAAGCCAGAGCACACGTCCACACACATCTGGCAGCAGATGTCACAGCAGCGGTCTGAGCAGTATCTCCAGTCGTCACACACACACCAGCAGCCACCAGCCGGTCCACATTCCTCCTTACTTTGTAGGCTTGAGTTGCAAGGCTTGCAAGACTGTAACCCCATGGGTCTGCCTGTTAAAAACACACACAGAGACACAGAGAGACGAGATATTGGAAGAAATCACTGTCTGGAAAAATTCTTCTTTTCAAGTCCAGAATTGGAATGGAGGATGTATAGCCACTACCAAATGAATGCTGCAAAGAAAAATATGCTGATAATTGACTGTCAGCCTGTCCTGAACATTGTACAAGTTTCCTGATATCTCAAGTTAAGTCCAAAGTTCTTGCCACATGCAGCATTGGCTAATGTTCTCTGCGAACAGTTTGACCAAGTTTTATAATGCTTGATGTCATACTTTTCCCCCTGAGGCCTTACTCCAGTCTGCTCCATCATCTCCCACGTTCATGAGACAAGGAATGAAGTTAGCCCGAACTACAATTCAGAGAAGAAATCAGCTCTTCAAGAAAAAGCATGACAACCTCAAACGTCACCAACAGAGTTATTCTCTGTTAACACAAACCCAAAATGCTCACAACACAACACACAAACAGAGAAGCTCTTTCTCAGGGATACTTGTCACGGGGGCCTTCAAGATAGACATGGTGGTAAGCAAGGATAATGAGCAATGCGGCACAAATGTGGAAACACTGACTTAATTACAACAGCAGCACTAAACATCCACGTTTCTTAAAAAAATTAAAATAAAGATACTAATAGTATACCAGATGTTTGAAACAATTAGCAACAGACACTTCTTTTTGTTTTCACACAAAAACATGTTTTAGGGAGAAAACAATGTGCAGATTTATTGTAATGATCCTCATTTTACACATCAAATAAAGGCTTATAAACTAAGAGAGAAAGACATAAAAATGAGATAGCACTTACTTTGCACACTGAAGGTTGGTAGCAAATCAGGAATTCCCCCCTGCGTGCAAAATAGATACCTCAATGTCACATTGATAACACCTGATAATCATTACAACAATCAGCCTGAAGGCAAACAACATGCCAGAACACACAGCTAACCAAATCATTGGTGTCCATGTATACAGGCCAGTATTACAATTAAAAACACAATTAGAAAAGGAATCTGTAAATATACAGTTAGCAATCCTATATATACATTGTTGGAACAAATATGCAGATATTTTCCTCTAAGTAAGCAATACCATAGGGTAGAAATACTCTGTACAAGTCAAATTCACACATTCAAAATTTTACTTGAGTAAAATTGCAGGGCTGGCATCAAAATATATTTAAAATAAAGTAAAAGTACTCATGCATAATGTCCCATTTCAGAATAATTGATAACTGATGCATTATTAATGTTGCAGCTGGTAAAGGTGGAGCTCATTTTAATTATTTTATATACTGCTGGGTAGCTTGTGAATTTCAATAAAGTCTTATCTTAACCTATAATAATTCCGTGGATTTTCAAAGTTGGAAACTGTCCATGGGAATTAACAGGAATATATGGGAAAAAAAGAAAAAAAAGGAAAAAAAGAGATAAACGGGAATTAATGGAAATAAACTGGATATTTTTAATATTGCTTGTTATAATACTGTTAGTCTGTAACAGGGAGCTTACATGTAGTTGAAAACCCATTGCTATTAACCTATTTGGGTTAATTGTATTGTACGCATATAACCATAACCATAACCATAGTAAATCAAAGGCAGCATGCTAGCTACCATCATATGTTAACTTAAAGGTCAATGGTTTGGGCTACTATTTATGGTGCTATCCATTTGTCTCGTAAATCCCCCGCCCGAGTTGCTCTGACGCGAGAACGTGACGTAATTGCCTGGCTTGTACCACTTAGAGCGTTCCATTTGTCTTTGGGCATTACGAGTCGGAAAGAACATGGACGCCACCAGTGCAGCAGCTGTGTTGTTATTGCTTGTGGCTCATCTAAACAAGCTCAAAGTGAAATAATAATGTTTTCCTGAAGAAACACCAACATTTCAAGTAATTCCGTTATTGTAAGTCTTACATTTCAATAATATTTTGCCATTTTCTCCTATTTTAATTTCAACAAGTGCTGTGGCGTTTGTCTCGAGCCACCAGGGGCAGTGGCAGGCCAGTGTTATTGTTAGCTACATTAGCCTATTTAGCAAACCAGCTCGAAAACAAAACTTTACATTGTATTGCACGCACAGCAACACCGTGCAATGCATAAATTGGTGACCGGACTAAAGCAGCAATGTAAACAAGTGTGTAAGAGCATTTAAAATCGACATTAAAACGATCAACATAGTACAAATACAAAGAAAATACATTTCAATATTGTATGAATTACCCAACTTTTCCAGTTGATTCTCCTAAATTCCCATTAATTCCCATAATTTCCCATTAATTCCCATAATTTCCATTAATGTCCATTAAAGTTTCCAAATTGGAATGTTTCCAAAATCCAAAAATGTTTGCCCCTTTGCAACCCTAATAATAAATCATAAGAAGATGTATGAACCAGAGGGGCATAAGTGACATTTGACCAACTTTACAGAAGAGCCAAACAAAAGAAATGACCATAATTTTCCCTGACTTTGTTTATTAAATTCAACCTTTGATATTAGAATTATGTTCAGTGTTAAGTATTTGGGGTTTTGATATAACTCTAGATTGGTTTAGATCTTTTTTTGCTAGACCCTTTAGCTAGAAGAAAGAGCTCATCAAAACCTTTCATTTGATATATATAACTCATTTTCGCCCAAAATGTAAATTACACCCCTCTGATTCTCACCCCTTATAATTTTCATTTTTATCTTTAACATTTCTTTTTTTCTTTTTTCTTCTTTTCTTACATTTCTTTGCTAGAGCTGTAGGGACATACCACACTGCATTTCACAACTCATATTGCTTATGTGACAAATAAACATTTAAATCCTTGAATCCTTGAAACATATAGAGCACATCCACACTATTGTACATACTGTAGTAGAGCGTATCATACCGGAAATTATACTGATGTTGATTGATCAAAGTTAGAATTCTCTCCTTCAGTTTGTGGCAGATGTAGCATTTAATTTTATTAAGTCTTCAACTGTCTTTGAGAACTAATCACCTCTTTCCAAAAACCAATGATCCTGTGATTAAAAATTGTCCCCAGGAAACAGATTGCCTTTATATTTTTACTTACATATTGTATTCTCATAGGAACTATACTCATCACGGTTAATCAAGGACAGAGAACAGACTACATCTGTTCACATGGCAGCTCTCCTGACGTTTTATTATTTCCCTTCCCTCTCCTCTCTGTCATTCTGTCGCTTTCTCTCTTTCGCCCTCTTCCTCTTTTTTAGACACATATTCCTTCTTGCTTCTTGCTCCCTATAACACAAATGTCAGCAGGCTGAGTGTGACAGGTGAACGACAGTGAAGCAGATTTGACCTTGACGGCTCTGAGAGTGAAGTGACAGTAATAAAAGGCTGTAGTGAGCTATTGTTGGCCCTGGGGCATCCATTAATGAATGACATGAAACAACCGTGAGATGCGGGGACAGGCAGGGGAGGTGGAATGATGGAGGACAGGTGACGGCATCCCACACACGGCCCTCACCTGTGATGAGCTCAGCCAGAACCTTGCACAAGGTTCACACTTAAACATACACTTGATAGCACATACTCAGGTGGCAGCATGATGTGCACACCAGTGCAGAAGCAATGTACAGAGGTGTCAAAACACACAACCACCTACAAACACTCGCCATCTGAGGACATTCTGTTGAAAGGGTGTGTTTACTGTAGAATAAATCACCAGCTATTTCATTACATTATTCATGTGCTAAGTAGACCCCTCTGCACCCGGAGGGCGACTTACATTTTTTTCACCTCCCACTCACTCTGACTCTCATACCAGGATCATGCACTGATACAAACCCTAGTGACAATTCAGCTTAATCCCCAGCTTCCCCTGCTGCAGTGCATCCTGTTAGGGAATTGTTGCAAGTGTGGAAAGGAGGCTATTTCAGGGATTCAAGCATCTTATATTCAAAGCACTGAAAGTACAGAACAGTTCCGGGTTGTTCCACTTAAGTAGAATTCGTTGGTCTTTTCAGCTGATATCAGGATAATTATAGATAATGAATTGATAGGGGTGATAAGTGTCAGACTACTAATGGAATGCAGTACTTAACCTCCATAATCCCTTTGTGCCCTTCACTTAGTGTCAGGATAATTAGATTACTGCTGCTGATACCTTCTTTACCCGCAGACACCAACTTATACATACACACTCCTGCCCACATGCACACACAAACACACATTGTGCTATATAATTGACTGGTATGAACTTGTCAACACATTTGGATGCATAAACATACTGTATATATAGTACATAACTGATGGAAAGACTAGTTTAAATAAAAGTAAAAAATACTGATAAAATTTTACTTTCAGCTGCATCAGCAAAGCGATGCCAGCCCTATAAAAGCAAAAGTCTGTCCCTGATTTACTGAGTGATGAAATTACACCATTGGTCAGTCGAGTATGTGAGTTTCCCCACAGGCTGTTGCTCTTTCAAAATGAACCGGTGCAAACAGCCCTCAGTTACATCCTCAGGATGCTTTTACAGGTGTTCTACGCATTGACAGCCACAAATCTATTGCAAGGAACAGAATATCCTGCTGGTACTTCCTGCTTGGATGGATGTGTGCCAGTGTGCTGAAATGCAATTCACATCCTGCTGTCACCTGCTCCACAGTCAGTCAGCTGACTGAGTTGACAGCACAAGAAATATGCATACATTTCAAATGAGCATGAGTATGAAAGTTATAATTCTTCTGGAACTTTCCCTATCCTCATCATCCAAATCTGTATGTTCTAAGGAATAAGAGGTATCCTGAGAAATCAAATGTGGGGGAGATGTAATTAAAGTTCCATCACTACAGTAATGGGCCCAACAGCACTTGGCATGATGTTCTTCCACAACCTGCCATGGCGGGGATGGCTCAAGATAAGCAATGAGTAACAGTTTAAACTGTAAAAACAGTGAGAGATTTACTGAACCTGTCGGAGAAGATATGGTGGTGCTGTGTGATATATGACGAAGGGGAGGGCACACTGTGTAACAGGCCACTCCAACATTTCATTGGGATTGGCAAGACACTCATATTTTACCCCAGCCATCCCCCAAGGGCTCTGCTCCAGCACCCCACATCTCTCCATCACTCCTATCAACTGGGTGGGAAGCAAGATGTAATTGGCAGGTAGCATGTCACATTCAGGGGTGACAGTGAAAAGAAAAAGAGGGGAAAAGGATGTTAGCAGGGAGGAGCATTG